GTAGTAAGTGAAGCGGATGTAAGGTGCTATAAAAAAAAAGAAGTAATTCAAAGACGAAAATTAAATAGAAGAAGCGCCGTTGACTTTTAATGAATGCTTCGCGTGCCCGCAAATTTCTTTTGTACACTGCGAGAACAATATTGGACTGTAGCGGTCGGTACAGAGGGACTGTTTCGGGCGACGCGACCAACTATCGCTCCGGGAAGATCGTCCGAATATTCCTTGGGACAATTACCGCGCCGCGACCTCCCTTTGAATGCAATTTATCGTTCGACTTTTCACCTCGGCTCCTCTATAGCCTGCAGACAACTGAATACAATACAGAGTAGTGAGGACAGAACAGATGATTCAAGAACAGAAAGAGAAATATTATTGCTTATCTGGGAGACGGATGCGACAAGAGTGTCTCACAATCTAAAAGTTTTTAATAACATATACGGTGTTACTTACTTGAATGGTTTTCTTGTGAACTGTTAAGAATATAATCGTTTACAGAACGACTATTTAAACAAACCTTGATTATTTTTTTAAATTGCTACACGTCTAATGTTTATTTAAATTCCCTTAGTTCTGAACACTGTGAAGCCATTCATGGTCATCATAATTACTGAAAAGTAAGAAATTAACTTTGAACAGAACGAGATCAAACTGTCAAAAATTGCGTTAATATAAGAATTAACCCTAAATTAACTTTGGATAGACTGCAAATACTAGTAATGATTATATAATATACCAAAGGAATTCATGTCTGGTCAGAAAATCAGAAGATGATGGCGTGCCATCTTAGGCTTAAGAGTTCATACAAATGCAATATCAAAGCAGTATCAATCTGTTTGGTCTATTTTTTTTAAGTGAAAAGTTGCCAAACGAGCAGATGGTTCACCTGATGTTAAGTGAATACCGCCGTCCATGGACATCTGCTACACCCGAGGGTTTGCAGATGCATTGACAACCTTATTGGAAATTGGGCTCCGGTCACCTCACTCACCAGACGAAACGCGAAAGTATTATACTTCCACTTTACGCCGGTCTTCTGTGAGGTCGTGGTACTTACCCGGACGGGGCTGCCCATTCGTGCAACAGCCGAGGCTGCTGCATGGCCCTACCACCGTGTATAAGAAAGAAATAAAAGCTGACAATACCAAGAACCAGGCGATAGACGCTTGCACGCTCTTATGAACCGTCGAATTTTACATAAAAGCTTATATATAGGTTCGTAAGGTTACCATCATACACTACATTAAAAGATTACCTATTATTTGCCACTGATCACCCAAGATGCCGAAGCTATGCTGTACCAACGGGAACAGTCCAAAGTGCGCAACTTAAAGTTAAGACAAGTTAAGGAAAGACAAGATAAAATTAGTAAATTTTGCGTCGACAGACACAAAATTAATAATCTAAAACCTGGTGGTAGCCTGAACTAATAATGTCATTCAGATGTCCAACCTCAGTTTGTCCCGTGACCATGAACGCTGAAAGGGGTTCGAAACGTCGAACACAACTCGATAAACCCGTAAAATTAGTTTCATTTAGTAACTTAAAGGTAATGGTTCCAGCTCCTTATATAAGCAAGTAGTACATCGCCCATGTTGAAAATAAAGAGGGAAAATTGTAACTAACAGAACATACCGCCTCTGCCTCAAGTTGATCTGTGCTCTGTCGGGATTAATTGAATCGCGGGTAGTTTTAGGCACTGTCTGCGGGCACTACCGGTCGCCTGGATGATTTGCCGCTTCCGACTCCAAGGGTCCGTTTAACGACACGTCTTGGGGGTTGGCAGAGGGCTGCAAATGCGGAGGGGGCGACTTTATGACGTACTATGAAACTTACTCGAAGTTTGACTTATTTGGCGGCTTTGATTGTGGTTAAAAAAAAAGGTTCTTTTCTTCCCTTAGCCATATATGTGTTGTACCCTTAGCCATATATAAGTAATACAATTTAAGGTAATTAGGAGTAACATACTCCAATTATAGCAACCTCATAGTTGAAGGTATATGAAATTTAGATGTTGTGAAGGCTTTCGTTTCAACTCCAAAATGCACCATTGTTTGGTGCATTTTGGATAAATATCTCCAATGTGCAGTATAGTTAACACTTCCAAGCGCATTGGAATTTTAGCTCCATAAATATATGATTCCGATGCGCCACAAATAAACCTAAGTTAATAAAGAAATAAAGAATAATAGCGAAGGTCCCAGTGGAACGCCCGCAATCTACTTTGTTTTGTACGTGACTAATTAATATTAAACTCGTGGATACGATGATACTGAAAGCTCTTGCACGTTTCTGCTGGTTCTAATATTGTGACAATAATATCATTATTTGGACTATAACAAAGGATCGTGTTTACTTAGCTATACTGTACTGGTAAAAATATTATTAAATAATAAAAGATATAAAATATCGTAACACAATTAGTCGTAGTATTTGTATTCATGTTTTATTATTTTATATTAATTAATACAATTAAAGTTTATAGAAAAAAGTACAATAAATCTTTCGCCGCTGTGGGAATGGGAATCACGTCCTCGGGATTCGCGCCCAGACGCTTTAACCACTAAGCTAAATGGCAGATTGCCACACCGATGAAAATCTCAAATTCCATCTACAAGGTTTTTTCCAACAAAACCTTGCATAATTTAGAGCCGTCATAGCTCAGTGTCGCCTTTAATTCAATGTACTCGAGCAACCTGAGTTCGATCCCCGGTGCCGGCACCAATGAAGTTTTTAACTTTAAGTGCTGACTTAAAACGTGCTCCGCGGTGAAGGAAAACATCGGGAGGAAACCTGCATATTTTCGAAATAATAACAAAAAAATATTTCGAAGATATGTGAAGTCCGCCAATCCGCAGTGGGTCCGCGTGGTGGACTCTGCCCTGATACCCTCTGTATAGAGGAGGCCTTTGCCCAGCAGGGGGACATGTATAGGCTGTTACTTTAAGCAATCCTTGGCGCATCCATTGTTATATACTTTACTGCATACAAACAATTTCGAATATCGTTTTACAAGAGATGTCGCCTTTGATATTAGAAATTTAAATCCTGATCACTATCACACTGTACCCTCTTTAGGTGCTTTCTGCGATTGCCGCATATATTAGTCCTGTCCTATAAGACAGACTCTACAGCAATTGGTCGTACCCAGCTCGTCATCTTTAAACTGGTAGCTTTTGCACAACTTGAGAACGAAATTATGGCACAATTTTACTGTTATTGAGAGTAGAAAAACATTGTCCACACTTAGTGTGGACTAATATGTATTTATCTCAGCATTCAGCGAGGAAAAGCAATAACACTTCTTAGCACCATTAGTGGGCATCCAGTGCTGTACAGTGGGTATTGTACATAGTTCAGCATTTTTATTAATACTTCGATAATAGGCATGTCTCACGATTCTTTCCTGAGCACGTGATGACTTCAGCACTTAAAATTAACAATTTAATGGTGCTGGCACCGGGATTTGAACTCGGATTGCTCGAGTATATCGAATTCAAAACGTGAGCCCGGACACTGAGCTATCACGGCTCTATTCCCCTTAACTCGGTATTAGTAAGTCCATGCTTGCAACTTATACAGTATCTAAGATATCACGGCTTTAACCACCCTTTCATAAGCATAATTTCAAAGAAAGAAAGAGATTTAATTGACACAAAACGGACTGACACAACACTCAAACAATAAAAATTAAATAAATAAATAAAATATGGACAAAACACATCACTATATGTATGTTATTTTTTTATTATTGCACGTCGTAGTTCATGCCAAAAATGAATGTTGTCAATGTCACTCAACAGAATGTTGCAGTAAAAACTGCAACGCTGATTTTCATTTCCAAAAAATTCAAAGCTCCGGGTAAATTAATTTCCCCTGCCTTTCACGAGAGGCATAACTGCTAATAAAATGAGCTTTATAATTACCTCATTTTATTAGCAATTACGCCAGTCGTGCGTTGAAATTCGATATTGTGGAGAACGTGCGTGGCAATGTAATTTATAGATTTGCCGGATTTATTAAGGGAAGGATTGTAAACTTAATTGCGGGAGTAACTTACAAAGGCAATAGAGCTTTCTACATTTTCCACTAAGATAAAGGCGATTTATGTTATTTACTTTCATGCGTAACTCAAGGCTGTGTGTAAAACGTTTAAGTAACAATAGTTTTTTTTAACGTTGATTTATTATTTCAGAGTTCTAAGTTTCATCTTATCACGTGCTCAGCGGTGGAGGAAAATATCGTGAGGAAACCTGCATATTTTCGGAAATAACAAACAAAATATTTGGTGTCGCGTGGTGGTCTATGCCATAATATCCTCTGTGCAGAGGAGGCCTTTGCCCAGAAGTGGGACATATATAGGCTGTTACTTTACTTTTATTTCACGTTCATTAATCATATTCAAATCGCAATGGTATGCCCCATTGATTCCATATCTGATTATTTCGTTTAAATACGAAAAAAAATCACTATGTTAGGAATTGTGTCTTGTGTTCGTGTGAAGACACATTATAACCCAACTTTTGAACTACTTAAAAAAAAAAAAACAGTATCAGTTATGTTTGTCTGTCCCCTAAGGGTTTGATTAGGGCTTGGTGTATTTTATTTCGGTCTTAATACCTCTCCTGTATGTCACAACAATATGCAAAATGATTGTCACCAATTTTGGAACATCAATCAATGCTTCTAAGGGCTTCTTTTTTGTTCATCCCCTTAAATACGTGTCTTTACGTATGAGTGGTTTGGCTTTTACCGAGCTACTGCGTAGCATCTACATTTAAATAACAATTTGTCGTCGGTGTTATCATCAATATTAACGAGTGCTTCAACATAAAGCACCAGCTTTCTTCAATATGTTATGACTCTGGCATTTTATCGGTCAAGCGTTCAATTACTTCCGTTCGGAGCGCGTTAATGACGGGTCCGTGAGTTATTAGGCGCGGGCCGTAATCAACGCCGCGTCCGCACCGCATCACGTGAACCGTAAAAAGCGAGTCGCATTAGCAAAGGGTTGGCGCGCGTTCCGCCGACACCGTCGCTCTGCCATTGTGGCCGTCGCATCGAGCGGTGCAAGTGAAAAGCGAACCGCGATCGCTATAACGCGTCGCGTGGTGCAAGTTAATGCAGCGCGCGATCGCTGCAAGTACCTGTACAATAAAGGAATGTACGGTGACCGTTTTACGAGTAGTTGTTCTTATATTTTTGTAATTCACTGTTTAGGTTATACTCAGTATGAGTAACAACACCTCGAGTTACTAAACGTTTAGCGATTGATTGGTTCAGCCAAAAATCTTTAAAATGTAAGTAGACAAAGTTTTACAATATTTACTAATACTCGCTAGCTTAATCTGAACTGTTGTTGTCCATTGAATCAAAACTTGCATGATTTCGATAATTTGTAATGTATGTACACATATATTTTCTGACATTAAGCAGTGTATGCGATTAACTGAAAAAGATGATTTGTAACCTATTAAATTTGCCATTTATAAACACATAGGTACATATATTTTCCAATACAACCGCTTAAACTCTTTCACTTGAACTGCACCTATTGTTTTTATCCACTCTTAAGATTTAAAGTCACGATATATTTCTTAAGATAAAAATGTATCTTTATCGTTATTAATAATATATTTATAGGACATTTTTTCCGCTTCATCTTATTATTTAAGCCACGCTACAAGTGACTGGTCATAAACAGTTTACGACGAGCTGCCGGTGGTAGAGATTAAAATCGTGCATTTGTTTTATAGTGTCATTATAGCAGAAGTGCTGCGTTCTTGGTTTACGGGACCCAGGCGGCTAATCGCAGGAATACTGGTTTTACTCGGATTAGACGAAACTGGGTCATGGAGTTGAAATACCGTTTCAGATTTACGGTTTGAGATAAGTCGATAATTGTTTATAGTACATTAATCAACTATACCAACATTAGGGTACGGTTAACGGTGGTAGGGCCACGCAGCAGCCTCGGCTGTTGCACGAATGGGCAGGCCCGTCCGGGTAAGTACCACGACCTCACAGAAGACCAGCGTAAAGTGGAAGTATGACAAATACTTTCGCGTTTCGTCTGGTGAGTGAGGTAGCCAGAGCCCAATTTTCAAAAGGCCGTTAACGCATCTGTTACCCTCGGGTGTGGCAGATGTCCATGGGCGGCGGTATTCACTTAACATCCGGTGAACCGTCTGTTCGTTTGACAATTTTTCGCATAAAATAAAAATAAAAAATTAGGGTTGGACATCAAAGGTTTTTAATCACAACTCACTATCAAAGTCAAGTCAAATTTCAACAGGGCCACGCAACATTCTTCTCTATAGCACGAAAGGGTAGGTCCATTTGGTTAAGTACGACCTCAAAGAAGATCGACGTGAAGTGGAAGTGTATACTTCTGCGTTTCGTTTGGTGAGTGAGGTAGCCGGGGCCCACTTTATTAAAAGGTGGCAACGCATCTGCGAGGTGTTGCAAATGTCAATGGGCAGTGGTTATCACTTAACATCCGGTGAATTGTCATCTCGTTTGCCACCTTTTCACATAAAAAAAAACTTTGTAAAACTACATATAGATGTGCTTTTAAAAATCCATAGATTAGTATTTAGATTTAGTTAGAACTTGTGATTTTATATCGGTGAAGCAAGGGACACAATTCTTGACAAACCAAATTAAATTACTCTTATCGAGTGCAAAGGGGGATTGGAAATGGAAAGAACACAATAAAGAGATAAGAGCTTGTAGCTTTGACCTTGTGCTTTGATATCGCGTATCGGGTACGCACACATGCGTAGAGGTCAATGACCGACCCGCGATCATCTTTGAAAAACTGTAGATTCGCTATAAATAAATGCAAATTAAATATGAGTTGCGTAACTCTGGTGCAGATATGTCTTCATAGTTTAATAGTGTTCCGTCATACATGTAGTAGGTATATATAGGGTTAATTTGAACTTGAGTGATTACCGCAACACGGTGCCGGATTAAAAAATTTGCCGCCAATAGGCTATACAATTTTTGCCGCCCCCACTGACTCTGAAATTCAATACCCTAATTCGAAATCATAGTAATTAAATTTATTCTGTCACTAAAATTGCAACTTTTTGATTTATGCTCTATCGTCTTCATTACATCAGTTTTTCTCGTTATTAGATTGATTTCGAACTAGGATTTCGTTGTGTCAGTTTCTAGATTATTTTTACAACTAACGGTTTAGTGAATATTACACGAAAAATAGTTTTTGGGTATAAAAAAACCAAAATTTTGGGCCGTATTTGCCGCCCCCTAAAATCCGCCGGTTCTAGCCTACTTAGCTTGCTGGTAAATCCGCCACTGCCGGAACAGTTGCAACGTTGAAAAAGCAGACCCCCGATACCACTCACCGACGACACGCAATACAACTACAACTTTAAGTTTACCTCGTCGTGGTACATCAGGTCGTGGTACACCAGGTCGTGGTACACCAGGTCGTGGTACACCAGGTCGTGGTACACCAGGTCGTGGTACTTACCCGGACGGACCTGCCCATTCGTGCAATAGCAAAGACTATTGCCTGACCCTACCACTTTATAGTTTATGATAAATTTCAAGCTGTTAGAGTCCACTGTTTAACATAGCACTCTCCCACAGACTGCCTCAAAGCACGATCCTTGCCCCTTGCACCCAATTACGAGTACACCCGTCGACTTCCCGCACATTTGCACGTATGTTGTGCTTATATATTTTAAATTACATTAAAATAAATGTTTGATTGGTTTTACGTCATGTAAATCAGTGGCCTTCGATATTCGATCGTACGGTCGGTGGTTCTAATCTATCAGTTTTTCGTTTTTGGATTATTACGAGTAGGAATTTATTATGTCATAATTATTAGGGCTTGCTTTGGACGACCGCAAAGTTAGCTGCTTATTACATTAGACTCAAAAGGCGATGGGTTTTGTTAAGTGTTGAATCTCAAGGGAGGCTTCTAAAATAAAATCATATTATTATTTTCGTACATTCGATTTGATCGAATGATAAAAATTGGCAGTGCTCATTGAAATAGCCAAGTAGTATAACTAGATCAAACGAAACTCAAGGGACTACAGTGAAAATGTTCTATAAAACTGTTCTTAATGAAGGATCCTTTGTCCAAAGTGAGTTCTCTTAAACTCGTTTTATTTTATGACAATATCTTTTGTTATTCTTCGAGTTTGATCTTAGATAACAACTTGTTATTAAAGAGGTTCATTGACGTTTAATTTTAGCGGTTTGCAGAGAATTGATAGCATTATTAATCAATAGCCTACTATGGGTACATTTTTTAATAATATGGATTAAAAATTAATTCATTTCTATAATTTTTTTCTTTACTTCAACTTTGTACATTTTTGTTATGGGTAAGCCATCAGATTTTCTCTATATACATGAAATTTTAAGAAAAAAATAGTACTTATCGATGAAGTTAGTTAATTTAAATGCATGCAGGATATGAAAGATTTCATTACAATAATAACTTTTTGGGACTTTCAAAATTCTTTGAATCTTGAACCTCTACGATGGCACCAACTATCTTAGGGTTACTTGCCTACCCTTCTGGATTTAAAGATTAGTGTATACTGAGACGTAATAGCTTAGTGTCAGGGCATCCGCTTTTAATTTAGTATACTCGAGAAACCCGAGTTCAAATCGTGGTGCAGTTACCAATGAAATTTATCTATTTATTTTGTTATTTATTTATTATTTATTTTTTACTTTTATTTATTTATTTTTTATGTATGTATTATTGTTAAAAGTGTGGGGAATAAGCCTTCATATGAGCTGTGGGGTCGCGTTGTCGACTATCCCCACTTTGTAGAACACATATAATATAGGCTGTTACTTAATGTGTCTGTCTACTCTCAAATAATACTCTCATATGTAGGTGCTTCATCGACATTAGGCAGTATTTCAATCATCTTCGCAGCAAAGAAATCCCCCCCCTAAAGTCGAAAGAAATCATTGTAGTTGCCACTAGGCAGCTGGTGTTAATGAAATTCCGGCTTTGAGTGAGAGAAATCACGCTATTGGCGAAGCGACCGTCACAAGGAGTCCCTCTTAACTCTAGTGTATCTGACGCTCGCGTCGCCTCGTAAAACTCTTTACTGCCGACCGGCTAAGTATCGGCGATCTGACGACGTCTCGAATGGACGCTCGACCGACTTCCAACGGATTTTTTTTACAGCCCCCCGCTTAATTAGATTATATTCGGGTTTAACGCTTTTGTCTCCGTCGGCGCTATTTTTAACGGCCTATTAACCTACTACGTAAACTTGTGCAACAAACTGTTTTGTATATTCTGGAAAAGCGAACATCTGATCATTTTACTATTATAATTAATAAGGAAATCAAATTGAGACATATTTTAACACAAAATATTCTAGTCCCAAACTAAGCAAAGGTTTTACTATGGGTACTGGGTAACTTGTAAACTTAAACGCAAAGTTTTTTGTAAATAAATATATATTGTTGATATATAAACACACAGACACTAGAAAAACAACATGTTCATCACACAATATTTTCCAGCAGTGGGGATCGAACACCACTACTACGCCAATTGGGTCGTCAAAAATTAAATCTTCCTCTTAATTTAGTATACACGACGCTTTGCCTTTATTGTTTACTTGAGACAGAATTTCAATTCGTCGACGATTCAAATGGATTACTAATAAAAAATATTATTTTCTTCTTATGTGGCAAGAGAAACAGTGTTGATTAAGAATAATGATACGATAAGAATACTAAAACTAATGATACAATTTTATTGTAGGCTAAATTTAGAAAGTGTCTTAACCGCTCAGCGGAAGAGATTTGAGTTTGAAAAGATTCTTAATTATCTTAAAGGTTCCGGCAAGGACTCAGCCCGTGTAGCTCGTAAAACAGATAACCGTTAGGGTAGAATGGACCTCAAGTGGCTACGCAGAGGTAAACTCGACGTTCTATCGCCATTAGATGGAGAGACTACCTGCTCTAACGTATGCGAGTGGCTTAGAGCGAAATTGCTTACACTGATCTGAAGGGCGGAGATATAGGGCAGCGTGAAAGGGCAAGGAAGATCGGCAGTCACATAAACAGTGGAAAGGTCGATCCGAGAAACTAGAGACTAACATTTAATTTTTATCTTTATTCTATTCTAATATACTATTGAAATGACATAGGACAATAGTACGGCATTAAAAGTCTTTGTTGTAATCCACTATGTTGTAATCTCCTAATGAAAATATATAAAACAATAAGTACAACAACAAACAATAGTGATATTAAAAATGAAAACTAAAGAAGCAACAACGTAGTGTTGTGTTATAATGCAATGTTCAAGAGAAGTATTAAAAAGATCAGAAACAGAAGTTCTTTTCACGTGGAAAATTATTTTCTCGGTGAATCTGAGGAATGTAAATGAAAGGTTTATTTATTACAAGCTATATATAGCGTACATCGTAATTGCATGACTCTAACGGTTTCTTATTTGTGCTGAATTTATAGTAATCAAAATCTTTGGTGGGTGAGAGTTCATAAATAATAAGCTATTGAATTGTAGCGCATCTTTGTTAATTAACTATAAATCAAATATCACTTTGACGACCCAATTGGCGTAGTTGATAGTGGCCCTGTCTCTTGAACCAGAGGGTGTGGGTACAATCCCCACTACTGGAAAATGTTTGTGTGATGGAGATAGTGTTATTCTAGTTTCTTGGTGTTTATACATCTATAATATGTATTTATTTACGAAAGAAAAGTACGTTTAAGTTTATATTTATCAGTTTTCTAGTACCTGCAGTACAAAATATTTATTTTTGCCTCGAAATATTTATTTATTTGTTATTTACCAATAAAATAATCTATCTAAGCTTGTAAAGATGTTTACTAAGCAAATTTAGATCAAATGCATGTAACATCATCTCTCCTCATTTCATCTTAACTAATCTAACGGAGGTAGTATACTTTAAATCTCTTAAGTGAACAACGAAAGTCATCGCTGCATATCAATATAATAAGAACACAGATTTGAATAGCGCGTGCAGTATGTACTACAAACATCCCTAAGCACTGGTAAGGCGCTCAGCGATTGTCCGGTTACGCTCGTAATCCGAAGCGCCTCCATAAAACGGACAGCCGGCCGGTCAGCCGTGAGGGGGACTCCCCGCGTTCCCGTCGCAATCATTACCCTCACGCGCCACGGCCGCGGGCTCCCCCGGCGGCCGTAAAACTGACCGACGATGAAACTTAACGGCATCGCAACCTTTTCAATTAACTACGTCATGTTCACCGTCTTAGGGGCTCAGTTGCTCGGACAGTTTAAGACTGCTCCTGCTACCCGACGATGAAGGTAATGTCCTAACGAAAGTATGTACATAATGATGCATTATATTACAATCATAATTTTATCTTCTACATTAATTTTTCCATGCGTTTAATTCTTTTCGTAAATGTACACTTTTCGAATGCTCTGCAAATTCATGGTCATAAGGGAATGGGACTAATAAAACCTAAGCAGGAACTAATGAAAAATGGCATTCAACATTTTTATAATAACGGTTCTTGAGCGCCAATATTCTCTATGTTGGCTAGGAAGTGAAAGGTTTGCAATCACATATGATTGCAAACCTTTCAACTCAAATGGATGTTTTTGCTTCAAAAATAAGAAAAAATAAACAACTGAAACAAAATTTAGTAACAACGCTCACTAACGGATGTTTATTTATCGGTAGGTTATTTTTAGAAGGAACATCCGGATAGAATCTATAAGGAAAACATCACATTTCATATCTCATTGCCTACGTAATCATTTAAAAGAGAAAAAGGTTTTCTTTGTCTTAGAATATACAGTTTTATGCACTTCTCCTGCGATAGAGCAATAAAACAGCTTATAAAACAGAACTTGGTACATATATATGGCAGTCATACTGATTAACAACTCATCAGTAGCATAACTGGTGTTGGACGTTTCCATGGGATAGTTTCAATTACCATCTTATGAACCATATGCTCATTTGACATTATTATAAAATAAAAAGCGTTTCATCACCATGTCTCGGGAGTATCGTATTATTTTTTTCCGATGGATGTCTAGAATATAAAAGTTATTTCAAAATAAACATATCTAGAACACAAAAATAATGTTGCGTAATGGTTCTCTTACCCACCGGTTCGTAATTTGGGCGATTTAAATTTTGATTTCGAATTAAAAATAGGAATCTAAGTTTAAAGAAAAATGGAAATGATCAAAGTCGGAGCGCGGTATATATGTCAAGAGCGCTATACTTGTATATTTGCGTGACATAAGCCAAAGGATCTGGAATATTTCAAGTCTCAGTTATCTTGCAGGCGACGTGAAGGGTTACGAAGGGCCCTCTGCGATTTGATGTCGGGATAAGAGCCCTCCGAACTAATAGATCTGATGTTGCTTATGAAAGAGCCTTAAGGTTCCTCTCCTCGATTCCGTTACATTGATGCAAACGTTTCGATTTGTTGTGGCGTCGACAGTACGATTTTACGTAGTAAGTTCTTTCTATATAATAAACGTAGTAAAGTAGCGCGCGTAAGTGAAGTAACGTGCGTTATTTATACAGCGATGTGTAGTCGTTTAAGACGTTAGTACTTTCATATGATAAATTTAACCACTAACTGATTCTTTACTACTAATTATGTGATGTCATGTACAAAATCGAAACGGGAACCATTAAAATTATCGTCCACTAATCCGCAGTGGAGCCGCATGGACTATGCCCTGAGCCGAGGAGGTCTTTGCCCAGCAGTGGGACATGTTTATTTATTTACGTATTTATTTTGGATTACCAAAAAAAATACATGTACGCACACGTTAAATAAACACAAATTTTATGGCAGCAGTTTACACAGCATTCAACAAAAGTATTTGTCGTACTCACGGTATAATCGTTTTTGACTAATCTAATACAAAAGAGTAACACAAAAGTTTAGGCTGTTGCATTATTTACTTTACTTCTACTTTAAAATAGCTCAATTGAATACATGCTTTAGATAATAAAAGAAAGCAACACTGTAAGAGAATCTTATTCATCAAAATAGTAGACACTGTTTAATGCTATGCAATTGCGTCAACTAAGCTATCAATTAATAATCCTAGGGGTGCGGTGCCGTTCATTTGCGGTACTTATCACGTAGGGGTTAATCGCCACAAGATATGGATTGAGTATGGCTCGTGCTTGCCATCAAACAAGATGTAGGAGCGAATATCTTGTGCGAATCTTTAAAGGGTTAGAGAGGCTAAGTTCATCGGTGTTTGAATGATCAATTTTATCACCACATCTCATCCACGTTCGAAATTAATCTGTCCAAAACATTGGTTATTTAGTAGGGGTAATCCACGCGTAAAGGTGATGATATGATTGATGAACATGTCTTATTTATTCATTTATTTATCATCAACAAAGTACATACTGAAACAGAATGAATATACAAGGTTTAAAAGAAAGTGATGAGTGGTACCGTAATCATAGGTAAAAACTGCTTTTTAATAGACAATAGAGACACAACCATTATTATTATTGCTTATATTTGATGTATTATTTTTTTTTATTTATTTATACTTAATTGATACACCTTAGGCTAAAGGCTACAATGGGCGGACTTAATGCCCAATGGCATTCTCTACCAGTCAATCCTTGTCATGGTGATAAGTAGATGGCAGGTGCTAAACCGAAGAGTAAATATAAGAAGTAAATAAATTGTGTATATTTTAAAGTATTATGTATATTTAAAACACAATTACCACTCAAGCGTAATCGTTGAATATTCTAAGCGTCCGTTTAACTAGAAATTCGCGCCAAATTTCCCATCCGACGTCCGGAGCGCGTGAGATCCAATATAAATTCCAATTAAACGTGCGAAACTGATTTAGCCTCGATTCATACAATGACCTTAAGGCGGTAGATGGAACACACGAGAAGAAATCTCAACGCCGTTTCCAATTACACCAATCCTTCCGTTTCGGGTCCACGTGGAATTATGCCCTGCGTCCCGTTCGCTCGTGCGCCTGTTTGCTTGCGCGTGACAGTGACAGCCGATTATGGGTGCAAGCGCCGGATAATTTCCAACGGCCCGCAGCCATACCTCACATTATGTGAGGGAATGCGAATTGCGTATTGGAGTTGAAGTAAATTCAGTTGTAATAGAGTTGTAATTTATAACATGTAATCGTTTTTCCAATGTAATGTTACGTGGCACGTTATCATAATGAATATTGCTATTATCACGAAGTCTTTGTCTTTGCTTTTTAGCTATTTAGTCTTGAGTTTTTTTTTTAAACATTGCCCTCACTTTAGGATTTTTTTAATGATGTATTTGTTTTTCTGTCACTCATATTCATAACTTGTATGTGATGCGATGTGATTTGCACGCAAAATGTGTTTATTTGCATTTCTTCAGAGTTCCTATGGATACGTCGCCATTCTTTTTCAAAGCCGACAATTTCACCTATGGTTGGAGAAGACAAAACATCTTCCGGCGTGTTTTTTTGTTTTGAATATCTTCCTCTCACCATTGAACGATTTCACGTATGTTCAGAAATGTTACAGAGATAGTGGATAGTAAGGTAAGTTAAGTAACAGCCTATACATGTCCCACTGCTGGGAATAGGTTTCCTCTGTACAGAAGGTGCATGATTCAACACGTCGCGTGTTGAATTATGCACTGCGGCTTGTCAAACATCACATATCGATTTTTTTTAATATTTCGAAAGTATGCAGATTTCCTCACCGTTGTTTCCCTTCACCGCTGAGCACGTAATTGATTACTAAAAATTAACAATTTCATTGGTGCTAGCACTGAGATTTGAACTCGAGTTGCTCGAGTATATTAATTTATAAGCGAGCGCCCGTACCATGAGCCATCACGGTTCTATATGTAGTATAATTGGACTAGAAGTATCAATGTTGGGGAGTCACTCACTTCTCGTTAGGAACGTTGTGTACTGGGCACTAAACTGAGTTACGACGGTATATATACCTGTCGGCAAATTAATGCAAATCCTAATATTGCACCTGTGCGAACCGGGAAGGTTTATTAGCAATTATAACGTGGTACGGCCCGGTACCGTTACGAAGGATCCCTTCAGCCTTAGGGATTGAGGCTATATCATATTAATAATGAATTTAATAATATTTAATTATTGCGTAGTACTGCCTGCTTTATACACTCCTCATGTAGTTAAAATAATTACCGTTTCCTTTAAAATAGTTAAGAGTATACTATTTTTAGGTCATTAAATATAATTCGCTCGACATTTAAATAGCCGTATAATTAAATGGTGCACGCAACGTGTTATGGATGTTTGATTTATCACTGTATTCTTTTCTATTATTCACATGTTTGCCCCTGCCACTGGGTTTATAAAGGTATATAGCGAATCCGTAACGGAGCTTTCCGGTAAGTATTCAGTAGCACAAGATTATTTGCCAGCCAAATTTGTTATAATTTTTATTGGATTTGTACCCATTACGGACTTTCAAGATGAGAATCTTACTTTTTCTAAAAGTGGCAAAAACTGTTGTCTTGGGTGCATGCGTATTTTGTGAAGTACTTTCAATCATTGTTTCGGAGTTCTGCATGAAGAGAATGGGACGATATAATATTTGAGGTTATCTGGCTCACTCGTTGTCACAGTTATTACTTTAGCTAGCAGATTGACGTCCTAAGAAGTTATAGGAAAAATTATATAATCAAAATATTTAAATTCAAAAATTGTAAAATATTAATAATATTAATATGCCTTCATTATTCATTAGATTATCTATTAAAAATAAGTAAAAAGTTTCTTAAATAGGTCATAACAAATTAAGACGGCGTTATTTGAGATTCGTCTACAAGTGCAAAGTAGGGACGATCAATCTGATATCTAATAAAAGGTACTCTAAAAGATCTTTATACATAAATCTAATTACATATCGCAGATATAAATTGGCATTACCATTTCACGCGCAATTTAACTTCGAAAATAAAAAAAAAATCCAGAGCTGCGTAAATCTCTCCCCGAACTTCGCTCGTATAAACTTCCCAAGAAGTCATAACTCGGTTATGCTCCAATGCAATCGAGACCAACTTCGGTGAGGCCGATCTCATATTTATGACCCTTGACCCAAGACCATATATCAAAGCGAGCAGTCGTCATTATGGGCTGACCGTTTGAAACGACTAAATTAAGATTACGCCCAGAGCCCTCATTTAAATGACTTTGAACTTTATGACGAGGCGATA